GCCGCGAACCAGCTCCGGAGGGCTTGCCGTAACGCTCGCCAGCGGCGGGGAGAGAAACAGTTGAGCAGATTGGGGACGTGCCGGCCAAAACTCCCAATTCCAGCACGTTTGCAGATCAACGGGGCTTGGACCGCGAACAGAGAAGTCTGGCGCGATGGACTGACAGCTTTTGGTGCTCAACGGTTCGGTGACGAAACAAATGAGCACGAGACGCAAACTCAGCGTTCGGATACGCTGGACTGCATTAGCCGGAATGCCAAGCTGGATGGCAGATCTCCGCCTTCCCTGGATTTCTTCAACGTTATCGCGGGTAGGGCTGGCATGATGTCTGGCACGGCGGCGGGGGATCGACGGGGCGCCGCCGGATATTTACAAGGGATTGCCGTTCTACCTCGTTTACAAAGTGTGGATATTGTTTCGGCGACGATACTTGGATAACGATTCTGAGGACCCCCCCAGTTGGAAGCAAATCCAGTGCACCGGCATTCCAAAAATAGCTCAGCCGGTGGTTTTCAACGAGTTTCGATACATATGTACGTTGGATTGTTTTGGAAAGTGGTATACCCGTAGCATACAACCGCTCTTTCGGCAGTCTGTACCGCCCAGCTCTGTGGCGACATTTGGTTGCAAAGCTGGTTTCGCATGTGATGATATCATTGTGATCGCGACCCAAACCATCACTGTGGCCAGGCATTGGGGCATGCCGCTGGTTGTTGGGACATTGGGTATCAAAACAGCTTTTGATACGATTCGCCATGGACACGTATCACGATTCTTGCTTAATAAAGGTCTTCATCCGAACTTCGTTCGGGCGATGCTGCTGGAAATATCAAATTTGTTCTGCTCCATGGTTCTGCCAGGGATGCCGGCCAGCGACTCATCCCCCTTGGAGGTCGGCGGGAAGCAGGGCGGCGCGGAGACGCCGGAACTATTCAACTGCATGGTCGAGTTCGTGCTGGAACCCCTCGTCTGCAGCTGGCGCAGCCGTAACTTCGGAATACTTTTTCGATGCGAGGGGTCCGCCGCTGACGCATCTCATTTGGGCAGACAATTTCATACTTTTTGCGAGCAGCGCGCAGCAGTTCTCAACCATGGCGCAGGAGCTGACGACGGCCCTCGTTGCTGAAATCGATTTCCGGTGGAAGCCAGCATCTATGGAGTGCGTGGTCTGTGGGGGTCTTATAGACGAGCTCGCGCAGCCGCCATTCATCACGGAGCCTGGGACTGAAACGCCGCTCACGCTCTCACTGGTTTCTCACTTGGTCCTACTCGGGGCTTTCATTACCGCCAGAGCAGAAACAATGGAGGCACTGGGGCATCGTTTACGCCGGGCAGAGGCACATTATTGGGCACATGTCAAAGCAAAATCGTGGTGGGGGCACGGTGAAAAGTAAATTGCGCGCCTGGTCAGTCGGGCCATCTGCTTGTGCCTTCCTGGGTTCTTGCGCGTGGCACGTCAACAAGCAGGTGCTCTCCAAACTCAAGACTTGGGAATGGCAGCACCTTCGGAAAGTGCTCCGGCTCCGCCGCAAACCAGATGAAAGCGCAATGACCACCAATGCCCGCACGTCGGCTTTGATGCGAAAATGGATGCAGATGCGCAGCATCTGGCCCATATATGTACGCGTGCTCAAGTCTGCATTTAAAAACGCATGGCGTGAGATATCGCTTCCACGCAGTGCCGGAGCTGAGCTTTTGAGGAAGAGCCGGATTTTCCGCGCGCGGGATTGGTGGGAGCAGTATAAACATGCCAAAGAATACAAAAAACGGTTGCGATTGGGTATGGCCCACGCCACTGGAGGCAATTTCTCTCACTGGGAAGATGTATGTTGTGATTATTTCGGCGTCGATTGGAGGAGTGTCCGCGACGGTTGCCATTCCCTACAGGAGTGGGCGCGGCATTTCGGGGAGTTCAGCGCGTGGATCTGCCGCCAATGGGGGCTCCCAGACGTGGGGTGCGTTCGGGCGACAAAGGAGGCGGTCGTGCAGGACTACCCTCCACCCAAACGACTCTGGGTGAAGAGATATACATTGGAGGACCTGCCAGCAACACATGCAGCCATCAACTTCCACGATGAGCCGATCAATTGGGAGGCCGGCGCAGGTCGTTTCATCATCATCTGTGATTGTCAACCCTTAGTTGAGGTCATCATTGGGAACGCCCTCCCGGACGGCTCCGACCACTGCCGCATCTTCAACCGTATTTGCACCCGCTTGGCAACGCTATTCGACAAAGGCGTCCTGCCCCACCAGTGCCACGCGGATCCCGTCGCGCGGAGGCGCCGCGAGCTCAATGTGAAAGCAGAACACCTAGCAAATTTCACCATGGACGAGAAACGCTCTTGGCATATATCTTTTCCATTAGTTGCCAGCCGTCAGCTTCGAGACGCGAATCTTGTCGTCCATTGCGACGGCGGTCGCCGGGGCGACGCGTGCTCCGCAGCAGCTTGGATCCTCGATGCTGTCTGGGGGGACGGTTCGCAAATTGTCTCTATGGCTGGTGTGTTTTTGGATGAGGTCGACGTTGTATCTTCCTTCGTCGCTGAGGCCATGGCTCTCGACCGGGGCTCAAAATGTCTTACAGCTTTGCGCGCCACTGCAACCCAAGATGAAAGTTTGCATGCTCTTTGATCCTCAATTGTCACATCCGGCTGGCCGCGCGCGGCCTGCAGCTGCGCCGAAAAAAAAACGGAACCTCTGTTTTAGCTTCGATCACGGGTTGCTGTGCCAAGCCGCCCTGTGTGGCTCGCGCTGCTTGCCCGCGTTGGCCCGGCGGCTCTTGTTGAGGAGCTCCCCCAAAGCCGCAGGTTGCACACGGAGCAACAGCGAACACGACCCTCCAGGCGACTCCTGCCGACGACGCCCCCCTCTTGCCGCGCAAGCGGCCGCCACGCGCACACTGCAACGTGCCCACCCAGCTCCACACCAGTGTGGGACTGGCGCTTCCGCACGATTTGTTTGACTATGTTGTTCCCCTTTGGTGGGATACGTGTTGTGCCTCTTTTATTTTTCGCCCAAGGTCCCCCTGTGGGGGGACACGTCCGACTTCGTCCCAGGGCCAACCTGGGCCACAAAGGAGGCCGCCTGGCCCCGAGGCGACGCACAGCCCACGGGCAGCCGCGACATGGCGATGCGGACCTTCGAGTTCGGGGGGGGGGAGCGCGGGCCCGACGCCCGCCCCAGAATTCCCTTGCTGCAGGCGTTTGGCGGCCCCAGTCGTCGGCGGTTTGCCCTACACCCGCGTGAGCATCGACCACGAAAGCACATATGCTGTGGCAGCGTTCGCGAACAACCTGTGCTATGCCCGTGTGACTTCTCCCGGTGACCCCAGATTTGCTGTCCCCGCCGGAGAGCGCACAGCTCACGACAGTCCACCTGGAAGCAGGCCGCAGTTGCCCGTGGACCACCTTGGTTTGAAACGATATCGCATGAGTCTTTTTTCAGTTTGTGGGGTCTGAGGGCAAGGCGACCGCAATGGCCCTCGCATCCAGACGAGATCACGATCCGATTGCCGATCCGCGAGGGCGAACGCCCAACCAGCCCTGTTGAGTTCTCTGACGATACGGCGAGTGCACGCACCATCCCCGAAACGGTCTCCCTCAAAAGCGTTGTTCAAGTCCCAGGACTGCCCATCCACGCACTCAATGCGTATCCCTACCTCGTTCAGCGGCGGCCAGAAGGAGTCCGGGGAGGGGGTGAAGGAGGGGAAGGAGGAACGGAGGATCATGACGAGGACGAAGACGAGCACCTTGTCCCTTCTCCCTCCCGTCTCCTCCCCATCCTCCTTCCCCCCACATCCTCATCGGTTTCCTTCCATCATCCTGCCTCTGCCTGGCCTTCCTCCTCCTTCTGCCTGTCCTCCCAGTGTCCCCTTCCACAGACTCCCGTGGTGTGTGGAATGAGGAGGCAGCAGGATGGGCAGGGAGGGCGGGCAGGGCTTGTGGAAGCAGGGGGAATGTGGGGGACAGTAAGTGGAGACCCATGCCAAGACACACCCTGCTTGCTCCCAGGGTGCCCTTGGTTTCTTGGGTTTCAATGGTTTGCACCAAAATTCAGTGGACGTCCTGGGGTCTCAGGACTTTGTTTATTGTGGAAGGTGTCTCATGGACTGGCGTCTGCTGCACGCAGATGCTGCGCAACGCTTGTGCCGTGTGCAGAGGAACCTTGCAACGTACCGACCTGCAGAAGACACGTTGGATGAGGAAGGCATGCTTCCTACAGTCAACCCACATAGTAAGGATGGGCAACCATCCCAAGGGTACCCTTGCATCCTTGCCTTTTTTTCGGTCCATCCTTGGCCACTTTCGTTGGCCGCGCCCCGCTCGAAAAGCCTCCATGTGGCCTTCCAAGGCCCTCGCATCCTTCTCGCGCGCCCTTCTTGTGCAGGCTGACTGCACCTGAAGATGTTGTGGTCTGTTCTTGGAGACCAGGGTAGGAGCAGCCGGCGTCGTCGAGCAGTGTCGCCGCCGCCTCCCGCGGCCCCGATGGTGCCCGGCCACCCCTGGCCTCGGCCCTTGCCCCTCGTCGGGGGCCCTTTTCCGAGAGCTGCCGAAGGTGTGATCCGAGCTCAGAGGTTGCGGAGCCAGAGCGAATGTTTGGCCCCCGTCTGCGTATTGCCCCCCTTCTCTTCCCCCTCCTCCTCCTTTTCCTCCTCCTCCTCCTTTTCCTCCTCCTCCTCCCTCCTCCTCCTCCTCCTCCTCCTCCTCCTCCTTCTCCTCCTCCTCCCTCCTCCTCCCTCCTCCTCCTCCTCCCTCCTCCTCCTCCTCCTCCTCCTTTATCCTCCTCCTCCTTTATCCTCCTCCTCCTCCTCCTCCTCCTTCATCCTCCTCTCGATCCTGCGCTGCCCACTGGCCACGCAGCTGGCGAAGGGTTTGCTGTGCTGACGATGTTGCCGCGTGTCGTGTATATGTTCATCCACGTCGCTGCGTAGAGGGTGGCTTCTGGTGGCTGAGCCCGTCCGAGGGTATGGAGACGGGTCAAAGCGCTGACTTCTGGCGCAGGACGGCCTGACGAAGATCATCCACAGGGACGGCAGCAAGAGCCTGAGGGCCCAGAAGCAGAAAGGCGCCCAGCGCCTCTCGGCCTCCGCCTCCTCTCCAAATATGATCGTCCTGACCTTCCTGATCGTACTGATCTTCGCCCTCCGCCTCCGCCTCCTCCGCCCTCCGCCTCTCCGCCTCTGCTCGTACTGATCGTACGGATGGTACTGAGCCTCCGCCCTCTACTCTCCGCCCCCCTGATCGTACTGATCGTACTGATCCTCTCCTCCGCCATCCGCTTCTTGTCGTACTGATCTTCCTGATGCCAGCCCTGCCCCTCCTCTCCAAATCCTCTCCTCCCGCCCCCTCCGGAGAGCCACCTTGCGAGCGTTGCGCGTGCGCTGCCCTTCTGCGCAGGCTCGCTCTCGTGGTCTGTTCGCACTCGAGTCCGCTGCGTGCTTCGGCATGGCCCCGCCACCTGCCGTCGGAGAGGAGAACGAGGAGGAAGAGGGGGGACGAGGAGGAGCTACTATAGGAGTAGGATGAGTATAGTAGGAGGAGGAGGAGGAGGAGGAGGAGGGGGAGGATCACCAGTGCAAACTTCCGACTCATCAGCGATGTTGGAGTAAACCCTCCATCCAGGTTCCCCCTTCACTGGCCCCTAACAAGGGTTCATCTTCATTGAGGGAAATGCCCCGTTGGGAGACGATCGTTCGAAGAGCCTGAAGCGCGCCAAAACACCGTTCTCGGAGTTTTAACGCCACGCATCATCATGATAGTTGCGTCTTGGCGATCCTGAATCATGCCAGAACACCATGCCTGGGACTACAGCACCGGGAATCGACGTAACTCCTTGCGCCCTGACAATCCGGATTCGTTCCAGAACAGTGTGTTTGGTACGTTATCCGTGGAATTCCGTGAAATTCTTGCAAATGCTCAGAAGGACTGTGCGCCTCGCTAAGGCGAGAGCCACATAGTGAAAAGGAACCGCCTTCAACCCGTGACACCCTTGCAGTGTTCAAAACGAATGTGCGCGGCGCTGAGGCGAGAGCTATATTTTGAACAGCAGTTGCCTACAACGTGTGTAACCCTTGCAATTCTGTAAGACGAATGTGCATGGCGCTGAGGCCTAAGCCACATGTTGAAAACGACCCGCCCTCCAGTCGCGAAGCCCTTGCAATTGTTTAAGACGAATGTGCGCGGCTCTAATGCGAGAGCCATTTGTTGAAAAGGACCCGACCGCAATCTGTTAAACTTTCAAAAGTTTTGAGTCGAATGTGCACGGCGCTAAGGCGAGAGCCACGTTTTGCAAAATTACCCGCCATGAAAAAAACAAACGTCACATCCAAAAAAGTAAGACGACTGTGCGCGGCGCTAAGGTGAGAGCCATGTTTTGAAAGTCGCTCGCCCTCCATTTGTGAAACGATTGTCAACATGTCAAGCTTCAGGATCATACATGGAGAGGATGTCTCAGGCGAAACGCCCGGCCCGCTCTTTCGGCGAGCCTCACGGTGAGACAGTGAGGAGTTGTCTGTAAGGGAATGGAGGAGGAGGAGGACGAGGAGGAGGAGGAGGAGGAGGTGGGTGGAGTAAGTAAAGACGGAGGAGCATGAGGAGGAGAAGGAAGGAGGAGGAGCAGCTAGGAGGAAAAGGAGCTACGAGGAGTGGGCACGTCCGCAGCGCGGGCTGTCCTCGTCCCTCGGATCTCTAATCCTATCTCTCTCTCTCTCTCTCGCTCTCTCCTTCTCCCGATAACCCTCTCCACGTCTCTCTCTCTCTCACTCTCTCTCTTGTCGGGTTCCTGCTCAAGGAGCTCCGCTCTCGGAGTGCGTGTTACTCCCTTCAACCTTCGGATTATCAGTTGCACGATTCCCCAAGCACTGCTTGCACGTAGGGTCTCTTATTTCTGGAGTCAGCCATTGGGCCTGAAGGTCGGTCTGGCGGCTATGTAGCCGCCGTCACCGCCTCGTCACCGCCCACCGTCTGGGCCTGATTGCCGGTCTGGCGGCGATGTTGTCGCCGTCGCCGTCTCGTTGCCACCCGTCGTCTGGGCCTGATTGTCGGTCTGGCGACTATGTTGTCGCTATCACCACCTCGTCACAACATCCACCAAATACGTACACACGAACACCGCATTGATAAAGCCACATAACTTATACAACAACATAGCTCGCACCACATGGATTGAATCATATGCGCTACGCAACATGATGTGCACCACATGGATCGCACACCATCTATTGTATCGCATATTTTGCACCACGAATATTGTCTACTTGTAGAGATTGCACAGCGTAGATCGCATCACACATATCGAACCGCATGGATTGCAGATAATAGAGTGCACCACACACATTGCACCACCTATATATATATATATATATATATATATATATATATATATAAATGGGGAGGGGATCCCAGGGGCCCTGAGAAGCAGGGATTTTGTACACGGCCGTTTTGGACCCGTCAGGGAGCGCTAGAATGGTCAAAGTCGGGGAATATGGGCGACAAGAGGGCCCAAGAGATGTCCAGGAGAGCTCCAAGACGGCCCAAGAGCGCTCCAAGAGAGACCGCGACCGCCCAAGAGCGTCCCGAGATGGCCCCACATGGCTTCCAGACAGCCAGAGGGGCCTCGAGACGGCCAACATGCCTTCAAAAGGAGTCCCAACGAGGCCCTCAGGAGGCGACACAGCATCTGTTTCTGGTGTTTTTAGGTTGTCCGCTTTCTTCCTGCTTCCGACCGGCCAGGACGGTGCACGAGGCCCCCGAAGTCGACCCAAGACGGCCCAAGCGGCTCCCGAAGAGGGCCCCCGGACGGCTCCAGGGAGTCCCAAGACGGCCCAGGAGCGCTCCAACTCGGCCCCAACGAGGCCCAGACGGTCCCAAATGGCTCCAAGATGGGTATAGCCAGGACCCCAGGTAAGGGGACCCGGTTAGTAGTAGGTCCCCGGAGCCCCCAAATTAGCCAGAATCACTAAACCATGTCTGCCGTGGCTGGTGTTTTTGGGTGACGGCAGTTCCGGTTCGTGGAAGGGGGCGGGGGGGGCGTCCCCCGGTACACATCACTAAACCAGGTTCCATTAAACCCAGTTCTGCCAACGCCCGAAAGGGGGGCTCCACGATCCCTCCAAGAGGGCCCCAGCAAGGCCCCAAGGCAGCCAAAGCCCTCCAATGACGCCCCGAATGGGTCCCAGGACGGCCCGAGGGGGCGTGAAGGAGCCCAACAGAGGCTCCAAGAGGACACCCAAGAGGGCCCGGAGACGCTGAATGCATTGATGTTCGCCCGGTCCTTGTGTTTCATCATGCAACGAGTTCCAAACATTCAGGATCATACGTGCGGACGGTGGTGTGAGCTCAAGACGGCCCAAAGAGATTCTCGAGACGCCGAGAAGTTCTTCAAGGCGGCCCAAGTGCTGCTCCAATTACTATCGAGGTTTCTGACTTCTCATCTCCCCCCCCCATCCTCGTCCTGCGCCTCGTCGGACAAAACGTCGCTTCGAGACGCGTCCAGCCGCGGCGACAACGAGAGCCCCCAAAGACAAGCCAACTTCGGACTTCGATCCTCGCCTGGGGGCCTGGCATCTCGCTACCATATCGCCCGCTTGTTTGATCCCCCCTCCGCAGGGCTGCCAAGAGGGTTCCAAGATAGCCTAAGATACCCACAAGACCGCCTAAGAGGAACCGAAATGAGACGAAGACGGCCCAAAAGGGCACCAAGAGCGCTCAGGATGGCCTCAGCACGGCTCAAGAGGTTCCCAGGACACCCCAGGAGATCCCCCGGCGCGCCCCAAAGAGGCCTTGATGAGGAAAGGCACATTGATGTTTTTGAAATGTTTGAAGTTTTTTCGTGTTTTCGCCACTCTCGGCTTCTGACCACCCAAGACCGCTCCACGACGTCACAAGATGGGCCCAAGACGGCCTCGGCACGGCCCTAAGAGGGCCCGAAGACAGCCCCAGAGGCCCCCAAACGGCCCCACAAGATTCCCAAGATTACCATGCAAGCCCCCAAGAGGGTTCCAAAACGGCACCCAAAGACGCCCCAAACCGCATCTCCAGCATGCGTCCGTCCAAGAGGCTCTTAGAATCCCGATGGACAGCTCCGTGGCCATTTTGGCTCTCAAGTCATTCTGACTCAAGCTGCTTGGCTTCATCCAGTGACTCAGAGTCCTACTTGCTAGGTCGCGAGTGGAAGAAGGCCCACTTTTGTGCGAAGATGCCCAGCATGCTGCCACGCTCGCAGTCAATGGCGATCAGCGACGAGGCTTTGGGGTCTATCGGCGAAGCGCTCGACAGCCGCCACTTTCGTGCCGCGCTCCAAGAGAGGCTTGCAGTGCTCGAGGCCATCAGCACTAACAGTGAGAAGATCGGCGTGCACGTGAGCGGCCTGACCTTGGCGGTCTGCGCTGGAATGGTCAATGCCGTGGCGTTTGCCAAGTTCGCTACGTACGTCAGCCACGTCTCCGGCTCCTCCACGGCTATCGGGCTCCGCCAGTTTGGAGACCAGCCTGGGGATGTGCCAACCCCGGCGTTGCTCGTTCTTGACTTCATCGTCGGGTCGACCTTGTGCGGCCTGCTCATCCCCAAGGCGACGCTCAAGATCGGCAAGGCGCCCTACTCGTCTGCCCTCATGATGCTGGCGCTCATCATGGCCAGTCCGATAGTCCTGCGCGGCCACGGGATTCTCGGCGCGCACCTCTTAGCCCTTGGCTGCGGCCTCCAGAATGGGCTCTGCTCGTCTTGGAGCGGAAACGTTATTCGCACGACTCACATGACCGGAACGGGTACGGACCTGGGATTAGCCATTGGCCGAATCATCTCCAGGTTTCTTTCGAAACGCGGCAATTTTGCGCCAGAAGATTGGGAAGAGCATACCGCGGACAGGAACAAGGTGATCCTCATGAGTCTTCTCCTTGCCGGATTCATTGGAGGCGCGTGCTTGGGCTCCATCGCCTACAGTGCCTTCAAGACCTGGACGCTCCTGATGCCTGCGGGCCTGTACTGCGGTCTCGCCCTCGTTCACGACCTCTATGTCCATTCTCAAGCGGAGGAAGTGAAGCAGTCGGTGGCTTTGGAGTCGCAGTT